AAAAAAAAAAAAACTTAAAAAAAACTTTAAAAAAATAATTAAAAAATAATTTACAAAAATTTTGAACTGGAGAAAAACTTTTAGATTTTCTTTTACAAAGTTTAACCGTTTAACATGAAAACACTGAGATAAACACTAAGATTGAGCTCAGTATTTTTGATTTCTCCGCAATTCACGATTTGCAATATTACTTAACATAGTGGTTATTACTTTAGATCTAGGGTATTTCAAAACGCTCAAACTACTCAGAGCTATTTGCGAGATTTATATGCAACATCGTGACAATATTTTCTATAGCATTCGTCTTTTTACTTGCGAAAGCAATTGATTTTGTATTGAGAAGATCATGGATATCACGCGAACCCACGCTTAATGTTACATAACGGACAAATCCGATGCATTCAAATTGTAAGAGAAAGAAAATTTATATCGGTTTAAGACATAATCCTGGTCAATTTACCCTTACCTGCAAGCCAACTATTTTTGGTGCAACTGTAGTTACAAAATTAAAAATAAACAGGAATAGGAATGTGTTGTTATTTTAGCTTTATATATATATATATATGTATATATATATGAAAATTGGTATCATTCATTCGCAATTAAGCTTCTATTCCCACTGTCTTTATCTTCAAATGTACCATCATTATCTATAGTCTCTTGCCACTTATCGTGTGGCATATGAATTCCCTCTCATTCATCTATTTTCGCACATCTTCAACTTCTTTGAACCATTAACCTTATAAATATGGCCGCATCGATCTGAATGAACGGTAATCGAAAGGGATCTGCTCTGGAGAATATACAAGTGTGTGCCATAAAACTTGTCACTCCAAGTTGAAAATTGTTTCCTTCGCAGTTTTTGCGGTAGACGGACGGACGTATGCGAACTCAAGTCAAGAAAATATCGGCAAAATGTTGCAAATACCTAGTATATTTAACAAAAATATATATGTATAGGCCAAGCGACGCCATGTATATCCATTCAGCGGAACAGCCGAGCAGCAGCATTTTCGAATACATAAAGCAAAAGATCCTATCGCACTGGCGCTCAGCGAAGTTAGAAAAATGGTTTGACTATTTCTCTTGACTTTGCCACATGTGTGATAGTACTGTCTATTTATATATGAAAATAATCTTCATTATTAGGAATAAGTTTGTTTGAAAAATCGAGAATCTTTTTCATGAAAGTTCCTCACCCAAATTAGAGGATGTACGTTTCTGGCCTTTATTTCTATATTTTTGAGTTTCGCACGAAAGAAATGCCGGAAGGCAACTTCTACAAGGCCCCCACAACGTTTTTACATGTGCGAAAAAAGTTAAAAATCAACTTCGGAAATCTTACGGGAATCCTACGTGAACTAATTCTTCCAATGACAAGGTGAGGGCTTTGAATTTCACTTTGTAACTTTTTCACGTGGACCGTAAAATAGTTGCGTCCTCTTTAAGGTTACGAAAAGTTAAATTTTCTTTGTAATATTTTACTGTCATGTAGATTGTCAAAGTAAATCGTATTTCTTAAGAAGGAATTAATTTTTTGGATGGGTCGAGTATATTATTGTAGCGATGAAGAAAAACGGCTACTTCATCAGCTAATAAGGGAAAATCGTACAAATTTATTGCCGCTCCACTATGCCGGTCACAAAATTGCGTAACCAATGCTTTAAAGTTCAAACAAAATATTGAGAGACGCGGAGCATTTAAAAAAACTTCCCTTACTTCCGATAATCAAATGATATTATTAGCAAAGCGAGACTCCTTCAAGGCATTCGATTCAATTTCCAATGGTATTGGAAAAGCTGTAATATCACGAACTGTTCGTCGACGATTACTATTACGTTCAATATTAGTTCGAAAAGATCTTATGCCCAGAAAAGAATTTGAAGAAACCGAAAGGCTGTGCTTTGACCCATATATAATGAATCGGACCAGAATGCGAAAAAAGTGAAGAAATATGTTTGGGAGCAACGAAACGAAAACTAATTCATTTAAAAGTCATATGAGAAGAGTGTACTTCGGTCAAAAGGAAAAGAATTCCACATTAGATTTACTAAAAAAACAATGAAGCATGGCGGCGAATGGTATAATATTATGGTATAGGCCTGCTTTTCTTAAGAGAGTATCGATGCAATACATCTCATAGAAAGCACTGTGCAAGATTTGTGTATAAAAACTTATTGGAAACTGCGATACTACCGTACGCCAAAAAGAATATGCCGAAACATTGATCCAATGAGATGAACGCGTGGTTGCAGGAGCATAACATGGATGTCTCTAAATGGCCATATCAGCCTCCTGACCTTAATCCTATTGAGAAGCTTCGGCGGCAACTCAAGTCTCAAGTTTCGTAACTTTCCTGTAGCAATGAAAACGAATTGAAGGCAAATGTTTAAAAAATACTATATAATATCGCAGCAAAAGCCTGCGGTAAATTCATTTCATCCATGTCAATAAAAAACAATGCTGTTTTTAAAAATAATGGTAACTATACCTGCTCTTGACTATCCGCATTGATTTCTATAATAATGATTATCTTTAAGTACAAAATATGGAAATGTATATGACCTTACTTTGTACTTTATAAATAAAAGGTAAATATAGAATATAGTAGGAGGAAAATGGAAAGAAATACCCGCTGTCCAGATAAAGCATGTGCATATATAGGGTTTCTAAAGGTCTTTCAGACTATCTAACAATACCTCTCAAAATTCTGCTTGCGTAAGTTATATAGCAAATAGAGATAGGGATTATAGCATTGCCATTTAAAAAAAAAACCAACCTGCGCAACGAAAACAACGCTGTCACAAGGTAATGTTATAACTAATAAAATTGCTTAATTCGGACAAATGATTAGTTTTCTCTAAAAGATCACATTTGCAAACACGTATTCTATCCAGTTCTATCCGTTTATTGCATAAACTTTAAAAATTTGTTTTACGTCTAGAAATAGGTAAGAATATATTTTAATTTAATTTTTTCGCTGTTTTTGTAACGAAATTGCAGTTAGCCACTCTAAAGCCAGGCATGTTAACAATACGATTTATTTTTCTTTTTTTTCACATATATTTAATACATTGCATGTCATTTGCAAAGCTAAAAAGTTTGCAAAAAATTCGCTTTAATACAATATGGGAAATAAATCTTTATATTCAACTATAAATAAACGTATATAATCAACTTTGAGAATTCGTACATGATACAAAAAGCCAAAAGCAGTGTTCGTGAACTTCAGAGTTTGTTCTTTGCGGCATATTAGGAAATGTAGCACATTCACTGCCTAGAACGAAAACTTCTTTTACGAATTTCATAAATGTTTTCGATTCTTTCTTTCATCCTAAGTTGTCGAAGTTTAACAAAGCTTCTTCTGTAAACTGTGATCAGAATTATTTTTGATATATCATGACGACGATAATATAATTTAAGCCAAAATGAGTACAGAACAACAATACATCAATACATTTCTCTTAGTTTGATTGTTTTAAATCTCATATAACTTATGTAATTATATAAATTATCAATATGGTGGGCTCATCAGTTATATTAAACAAAAGGCAATAAATAAATCCACATCTTCCTCCCCGTAAACACTTTAAGAGTGAAGAATTGAAAAAAAAAACAAATGGACGTAGGCTTATTTAAAATGAAAACCTGTACGTATTAAGAATATTTAGGAAAGTGATACCTGTCAAAAACAGACCAGAAAATACAACATTGTATAAAAAGGGAGAAATAATTCTCTTTCAATCGTTCTGCAACAATTTTTACATCTGTTGCTTGAGAAAACCGCACGCGATATCTTGAGAAATTTAAGCAAATTTTTAAAAAGTACAAGAAAAAGCTATCGAAAAATCTAGAAAAAATGTCCGAAGGCACCTCTAAAGAAACAGTTTTAAAAGCTGCCATGACTTATATATGTGGTGGTAAGTAATTGATTTTATGCAAGACATATTAAATTAAGAAAACCCACGCTTCTCTAGTAAATGAAAAAAGTAATAGATTTTTGTTTTTCAATTTTTTGTTTATAGAATGTCATCATGAAAATGAAATGCGTCCCCGTGATCCTATACGATGTCGCGAGTGTGGCTATCGTATTATGTATAAAAAGCGCACTAAAAGATGTAAGTTCTCGATAATGCTAACGCAATATATTTTTCTTTGAATTATGATATTCATTTTCAGTGGTGGTCTTTGATGCTCGTTAGATAGGCGATATAAAGATATAATAAGTTAATGGGAAAAAGATGTTGTAAGATATTAATTCTTTAAGGCGAATTTATAATATTTAAAATAAAGAAAATGTTGGATTTAAAGTAAAGGACTTCTTTTAGAATTCGTTTATTTTTTGTATAATGTCGATACCTACCATATTAATCGGATATGCAAATGCCTTATGGAAAATACGAAGACGATATGTTATCGAGTCCCTCATAACTGTTACAAAACAAATTGCACAAAAAACCTCTTATATAAGCTTAATTTTGCTTCATATGATATGGCGAGGATAAAGAAATCTCAGCATTTTAAAGCTTTTAAAATTAGAACAATTCTTATTAACATAATCTGTCAAAAATTTTTAATAACGGAATACGTGGAAAATTTCTTTTAGAATCAATATGACCGGGTAATGAACATCACTTCCGTATTACCCGATTTGGATTGCAAGGAAAACAGATGACGTCTAAGGGTTTCTCGAGAACTTGGAACGGTTGTTCATCTTCCCTTGCCAAATAGTAGTCAAGCACACTTTCGCCTTCCAAGTTTCGTCTCAATTCTAAGGACTGTATTAAATAAATGAAACAACAACTATATCGCAACTGCTATTTAACTTTTTTCATTAATCACAGAGCTTGTAATCATAGAAAGTCCATTAACCGGTGTTGTCTTTACTCTTTCATTAGAAGTTTTCGTTGCTCGGATAGTAAAAGCGTAGTTGCGCCAAACATTAGAGTATGTCCTTTTAACCGTCATCTTTGTGATGGCGTGCAACGACTACAAGGGAGTTTTCTAGAAAACACTTCCTTTCCTGCTAGAGAGTATAGGATGCATCAAACCCTTGAAATGGTTAATCATTTTCATCTAATTGATCTAATTAAGACACATTAAATCTAATCATTTACCTTAAAGTTTTTGTAATTTAGGATTTTTCTCAAAATAGCACGGTTAAGGTTTAACGCAAAGGCAAATTTTTAAGCTCGTGACAGGTAAAAGAGATAGTAGTAGTTTCATTGGTTTTCGGTCAAAAATTTCAAAAAAAAAAAAAATCCAAATTATTTCTTTTGCTTAGTACTTGTCCATTTTGACGACGTGCATAAAATAGTCTTCAATATGTATTTCATTGGTTTTTCCATCGAAAATTTAAAAAAAAAAAAATCCAAATTCTTTTGCTTCTTCTCTTTAATAGTGAAATTCAACGGGCTATATATTTTTTGACTAATTTTAAGCGGCGTTTAATAAAATAAACAATCTGTTAATAACGCGGCTTCATACTTAAGTGTTAATGAGTGTATGTATGTTTGTGTAATTATGGAAATATATAAGCCCTTAACTATATTAGAAGAGAAAATGTTTTATCAAATATATTATAAGACGTAAATCCACAATTAAATAAAAGAAGAGCAGTGACTTCCTCCTTAATAAAGATGTTCAGCATTGGAGGAACGCGGTTTTTTAAGTTTTTCCATATTTTTGGTGACAATATCATGCAACGATGAATATCGGTTTCTAACTTCGCAAACTACCAGCCATAAACTCAAGTATTCCTTTTCATCTAACTCGACAACGGCGCGTCGATAGTCGTCAATGTGGGGATATTTTGCGACTTTTGAGACGACTTTGGCACGCGATAGAAAATAACGAGATATCTGATCAAAAAAGGCAGCAGCTTCCGTTTCAACGGTTTGTATTTCGGCCAGGGTGTCTTCCTGAATTGAAACTCCGAAATTATTGCCATCTTCGATTTTCGGTATCATAAAGGAAATCCACATTTTAAGAAAATTCGCTAAAACATAATATGGAAATTTTTGCAGAATAAGAAATATAAGACTATCCCAAATCATAAACTTACAATCCTCTACCAGCTTGCGTATTATGGGTTTAACGATCTTTATCATCTCACATAATGGTGCATTACAGGGTACACTGCCGGTTGGTAAATACATAACCTTAACACCAGAAACCGAGGGTGGTTCTGTACGTGCTCTCTTGGCTGATGGTTTATCCATATCACCGCCATCGTTGTTATTAACCAAGACAGGGTCCGGTACTGGAATGTTCAGGTCTTGATGGACATCAGAAAATTTACGCTCATAGAACATTGGCGTAGCCAGCAATTCATTAAGCTGAACTATTTTCTTTGGGAAACCCTGTGTAATCAGTTGTTCTGCCTTTTTAATTAGAGAGTCTTTGTAATCTTGTACCTGCAAAAACGAACAACAAGATAAATAATTTTCCACCGAGTAAGGAAAGTAATAGCACTCACCTTAGCAATGGTATCGCTTGGCATTGTAAGTGCTTTTCCTTTTCTTTTAATGCTGCGGATAATGATTGCGGATAATTTCTCGTGCGTTCCGCGACGATTTTAATGTGATGGGCTTTTTGTTTTCAAATACTTTTACGTTTTATAATTAATTTTGATTTTATTTATTTTATATGAAGAAGCAAAAGTAAATTTTATGAAAGTACTTTCTGTGAAATTTTCAAGCTCTAATCGTCCTTCCTAAAATAATTCCTTCTAGATTTGTAAGATTTTCCGCTTCCAAAAGCGTGCTTTTATGTTAGATGACAGCTGCTTTTTAGAGTTACCTAATCTTAATTTTTTGATGATATATCACTCGATTTTTAACGAAATCAAGAAATACCAACGCAAACGAAGTTCGTCTCAAAATTAACGCATTTTTCAATAAATAATTCTTTTTAATGAACGTCTAGGAGAAACCGCTTTCTATTTCCATGTAAAAACTGGGTTGTACTTCATATGTATTAATAAAATATATAATATAAATAAAGTAAGTGTTTACTAACTGAGGTTTACAAAAATTCTTTTTTCTTTAGGTTTTTTAATACTGAACATGTGCTTTATTGACTATATACCGAAAAAAGGCACGGCGCTGACATAATGAGGCTTTATATATATTTTCGGACTGGGACTTCAGCTTTGCCGACTTTTTACAAAACCTTATGGGAATTGACAAACCATACAGTTTTACTTAATTACATGCAAATTACACAGAACGTAAAAGAAGCACAAAAAGGAATGATGATCGTTTCTTTTGATTTTTAAGGTTATTCGTCTAACCTATGCTTATTTTACAGTAATGTACACTTTTTTTATATTATGTGATTTACAATTTGCATTATTTTGTAAGAAATGCAAACCAAGCAATAGAGATCGGTTTTATGAAGTTGGTATTGTTCTATTAGAGAGTTATAAATGATAATTTCCAAATTAATACTCTATTAATACACAAAAAGGCTCTCGATGGTGGCATAAACTTTAAACAAATTATTTTATTTTTGTTTATAAATCTATATTTACGTTGATTTCTTTATTTTTGGTTCTAACAGTACATATTTTTGCTTACATCTTCCTGAAAAACGATATGGTAACGATATGGTAACGAGTCTGCCCATTGCGTTTATCACTTGAGAGTTTTTAACCCGAAAACGGTAATGATGCGCTCGTATGTCAGTCCACCTTAATTTTTTGAAATAATTGCTATAAAAAGCGAAAAACAGTTGCGTTGCCATTTTTCATGAATTACAAAATATAAACGCCACAATAATATATTCGGTCTAGCATTTTCTGAATCTTTATCCTTTACATGAAATATGTGAAATCTCATTCTTCTATCATCAAAGAATGTTTAGCATAATATTAAAACCTTGCAAGAAATCGCCAATTCGGAAACCCACTTTAAAAATATTTTAATAAACGCTTATATTTGATTGAATATTTTCTTTTTCTTGTTTTTTTAAATTGACAATAACAATTTTCCGTCTCAAACTTAACATTTCCACCTTTTAGCAGATAAAAATGGCAACACTAATTAAATATAAAAGTAGCATGCAGTAATAAATAGTAGTTAAGAACAGTTAAGATAAATAGTTTCACACCTTCTTGCTTTTCTCAACACAAAAAGAGAAACTTTTAACTATGTATTCAGTAGTTGGAAATTTTAAAAATAAATAATTGAGAAACAAGTGTATCAATAATTTGGGCATAGAGGTTTTCGCTTGAAACAAACCGACGTACGAAGAGATAATGTAATGCCTAACAAAACAACTTCAAACTGGTACATGGAAATATATCTGTGCGTAAAAATTGGAATAGAATGGAATGGAATGGAAACAAGATATTAAACTCGATATAACAACCCTGTTAAAAATACGACCGTTTTCGCAAATATAAATTTTTGCTGTAAAGCTGGTTTCGATTGTGGTTGTTGCTGTAAAGCTGGTCACGAATTATTGTATTTATTCGTTTGGATTGCTTGGATTTTTTGTGTAATATGGAATTAATGCTTTTTTGATAATTAGTTTCCGATTTTGTTGGTGCACTTTTCGCACTCTTAAGGAAACTATTTTGAAACATTAAAGAACTTTAAATGTCAAGTATTGGAGAGTTTCGAATTGTAGTATTAAAAATGTCTTGAAAATATATATTACAAAAGAATTTGTTAAAAGATAAGTTAATGCATGTCTAAGTGCACAAATAAGTAAGTATACGAAACTTTATTCATCCTTCCTGCTACGAGACATGTTGCGATCAAAGCAATCAAATACTGAAGAACTATCCCCAGAACGGTTTTAATTTTAATTTTATTCGTTTAGCCTAGAATTTTTTGATTTTTGTTTACTTATCACTGTAGATG